GCAAGCATGTGTGGAAATACTGCAGGTAATGGCTAGCATCATAATCTGGTAACCAGACTCAAAAAATGTTCGCCAATAACATAGTAGTCATAATTTATTGATTTCCATGTCCTGTGGAGGAATGATTTGTATCCCTTGCCCAACATACTTCATCTACTGGGAAAGGGGGAAAGAAGTAGCAGAGGGAAATCAACAAAAGGGGAAGGGAATGTGGAGTATCCTTCCAGGCATTGCTCTGCTCTGGATCTCTGCAACCATCCAACCTCTGGGCCATGTCCAGGGGTTGCCAGTTTTCCCCTTGACCACGAGGGGGTGCTCTGACCAGATGCTCTACAGCAGATGGAACAGGTGAAAACAGAAGGAATCCTGGCTGGGCGAAGCCAGGTCTAGACCTGGATCAGGCACAAGAGTTCCAGGTCTGCTTCCATAAAGTGCAGGTTAGCAAGGGAGTAGAGAAGATTGAATCCTGCAGGTATTACAGATAGCCAGCCTCTGGGGACCAGGCAGGAAAGGCAATGGACTCACATCTAGATCCCAAAGAAATGGTGGAAACTCCAGGTTTTTTTGTTCTTTCTATCCTGTCTCAAAGCAGTACTACTCAACTGTATGGAGAAGCTGATGTAGTGGGCAAAGAAAGGAAGGAGACACATGGATGTCAGTAACTCGACAGGTGATAGAAAGGATCAAGGAGACAGGAAGAGACACAATAGAAAGCAGGGTATACACAGGAGACAAGAGACTAGCGCAGATGATAAAGATGGGGGACAGTGGGGTGGGAGGAGAGCTCTACACTGCAACCCTTCCCTAGCTGATCACATATAGTTATTCCAATGGTCATCCCATTAGGTAGTGAGAACTGTGTCTCACATTGATTGTACCAGGGAAGGGCTCCAGCTAATGATTTCCTCTACCATACATTTAGCAGAGATACCAGGAATTATTGTGAAAATAAGGATTTTACTCATCCTCCAACTGCCCACAAGTAAGAAAATAGCTGATGCCCACTACTGCAAAGATGGTCCAGAAGCCTTTTATAGCATTGGTGAAGCTGGCATTTAGTCAAGATATTGTAATGTCCATACAGATTGGTCATGGTCAGCATTCAATCTGATGGGAGACCTTTTATTATGATCACGTAACTGTGCCCAGCTGCTTTGGAATGTGTGTTGTATATATTAAAGATGAGTTTAAAGGATAGGAATGCTTTGTTCAATGCATCACTGCTTTTAGAAAAGCAACCCAAGATATAGTTTCCATAAAAATCCTTTGGGATTGCTAAATACTTTAGTATTTTGCTCCAGATGAGGTTTCATCATCCTTAGATAGCACTGGCTTCTAAACACTAAGGGGACATAACAAGCAATTTGTCAAATGTAGTACCTCCCTCACTCAGAACACCATACCAGAGAAATAAGTCTGTTGGGACTGGCTTATGCAGAGCCCCAGAATAAAAAACAGTTTTAACATGTGTACTATCTTTGGCAGTCATTATTAATAAATTCTCTTGGGTCATGTGTGTTTTTAGACTTTTTAGAATTTTTTTAGAATATACTTTATAATGGTTAACATTATAAAAAGGAAAAGTGAATTTGTAGTACTAATTGGTTGAAATATCTATTAGGAGGAATAATAATGTGGTTCAAGACATTTCTTTGTCTTCTCATTTACAGCCTGCAAAAGATCTGCAAACATGAGGTCGCACTCAAATGTATTTAAACAATTTTATGGAAGTATCATTTACATACCGTAAAACTCATTTTTTTTTTTTTTCCGGAACCAGGGATTGAACTCAGGCCCTTGTGCTTGCCAGGGAAGAGCTTATTCTACTGAGCCATCTCCCAAGCCCCAACCCACTTGTTTTAAGTGTAGAGTTTCTTGAATTTCAGTAGATTTACTGGGTTGCACAACTATCACTATAAATCAGTTTTACGATGTACTTTTAGCACGTAAAATCAAGTACATTGAACAGAAAACTCACCCACAGCATCAGGCTGGATATGCAGCACTGAACAGGTTTGCTTGTTCCCAGTTCCTCACTCTCTTTCCCTTCTTGCCTCCCACCCTTCCCTCTATTTTTCCTGTGCTGAGTGCTGAAGATACAGGTTGAAAGATGCTCCTTGCCCTTAAAGGTCAGGGACACAGTCACAGAAGATATAGAAGAGATCACCACATTCTTTTGAGAAAATGTCATCCCTGATAGGACTGCCCAGAATATTAGAGGAACACACTTATCTCAGCCCCACCCTAGATTCTCTGAAATTTTAGAGCTCAGCTCAAGAAACATTTATTGGGTTTCTGCACTGCATGTTGCGCATACAAACATGAATAAAGAACTTATCTCTGCCCAGATGTGAGTAGCTTTGTAGCAGCCTCAAGTGATTCAGCATCCATCAATGTTATGGGTCTGACTGACCTTGTGACCCATTTCTAGTATCTCAGTCTTTGCCTGTAGCTGACAGCGGACCTCCTCTGATACCATCCCAGATAACAGGAATGGTCTTTTCTTTTTTCCTGGCAGTTTGTGTCACCTCCTCTCCTTCCGGTCTGATCCCCCAAAACATCCTCTCACTGAGGTCTTTTCTGGCACCTCATGTAAAATACCTCCACAGACTTTATTACTTCCCTACTTGACATTCTTCACTGTCAAACGTATTTTATGTATTTCTTATGTTGTGTGTTGTTTGCCTCTTCCGTTAGAAGCTAAATTCTGTGAGTGCAGGAATTTGGGTGTTTTCTTCTCTGTTCAATCCCAGTTAGGACACATTCTATATGCCATTGATATTGGTTGTAGCAATTTAAGAATCTTTGGAGCTTTATATTGGTCTCCAGCGCTGGGGACCTCTGCTCCTAACTCTTTCATGTCTGGGAGGCTGTCTTGACTCCACCTCTCCATAGAGCGAGCAGTGGCGTCTCAGTCTTGAAGGTGATTGCAGCTTTTCTGACCACAGCTGCCAGCTTGCAGCTCTGTGCATAACCTGGTCCTAGCTGCCTTGTTCTGGAACTTTCTCCCTGAAGAATCTGTTGTGACATGTTCTAACCTATTCTTTCCCTGACTCAAACTGTTGCTGCCTGCCTGGCCTCCAACGAATCTTAAGAACTGGCCCATCCTGGTCTGCCCCAGTTAATTAACCTTCTCTGTGTGACAGCTTTACAAGACAGGACAGAAGGCAGAACACCCATGATGCTCTGTAAATTAAAACACCAGCCAGTGGAAATAAGAATGCAAGCCTTTACTGTGCACATGCTGAATGCTTGCAACCTGCCCCCCACCTCACTAAGAATTAGCTTAAAAACTGTTGAAAAGGAGTTGAAGTATTTTGAAATAATTATCAAACTCTGAAAGTAGCTTCTTAAAAGCAATCTTGAAACTCATAAAATCATAATATTTCTAAGCTGAACTTCTTGTAAAATTTTGGTATAACTCCACTCCCGTGTTCCAAGCTCCTGGTCAACATCGGAGTTGTCCAATACTCTCATTAACTTCTCATTAAATATGTCTACCTTAAATGCACAGTCTAAAAACAAGTCTTTAATAACTTATCTTAGGCTTCTAAGACATGTATGTAGCCTTCATGGCTCTCTCACTTGCAGTAGAGGTTATCTCTTGGCGGAAGGAGGATAAGCATCTGCCAGGTGCCTGTAAAAGGCAGTGCTTTAATTGGGATCCCAGAGTTGGGATCAAGTTTTACCATCTCCAGGTGGTGGTTTTGCGCATCTGCTTCATAAAAACGCAATGGGAAACATCATCAGCAGGTGAGACGGTCCAGCTGAGAACATTGTGAATTTTAGTAGGTTGCGCGGAACTTGCAACCTAAAGGGCTTCCTTGGCTACCAGAGGAGGGCTCGGCCCCAGGTCAGCAGCACAGCTTCCTTCCACCTGCTGCCATGAGGCTGCCTGCTGGGTGGGATAAGGAAGAATCATTCAGCAGATCCCGGCGCCCGCCCGCCTAGCTGAGACAGGGATCCAGGAAAATTGATAAGGTCTAATTTTGGCAGAGTCAGAGTTTAAGGTTTTGTGTAGGGCAATCGTTTTTTTAAGAGGCATCAGACGCATGGAACCCATCCTCTCTAGATACTTTTCTCCTCCTTCCCCACTACTACCAAAGAAGCAGACCTCATCTTTAAGTTTTCCTCAGAGGGGGAAATCAAGACATTCTAAGCTTGTCCCTAAGGCAGGGGTTAGGTTTTGTTTTGTTTTTACAATGCAAAAATCAAATCCAAGGCCTTTAAGTGCTTTACCACTGAGCTACACTTCCAGCTCCGGTCAGGTTATAAGGTAAATCCCAGGGCAGGTCCCAAGGTCTCAGGGGTTCTCGAAATCCCCTCAAGATTCGCTGCCCCCTTCTCTGTGCCCCAGGCCCTGCGGTGTGCGGGCTCGCGGTCGTCCGTTTGGGCCTCTTTGCATGCCTCTTCCTTCCCTTGCGGAGAAGCAGATCCGTCCCGACTGGACCACGTAAACTTTTAGGGGTAGCCGCAAAGTAGGTGCGGCACCCCAACCTGGACTCTCCCACCTCTGCCCGCCTCTCCAGCCCACCTCCTACGCCTCCTTCGACACCAGGGTCGGGCTCGGGTCCTGCTTCCGATTGGTGCTAAAGGACCACAGCTAGGGGCCCATATGCAGCTGGCCGCAGAGGCGAGGCCGATGGGGCGGCGGAGGCGGGGTCAGCCTCTCTCCCCCGGAGGGGGACTGACGGACAGACGCGAGAGAGCCGAGGGGCGGAGCCGCCGGAGGGGGCGGTGCCGCGGGAGCAGAGCCGGCCTTCCACCCCACCCCCTTCGGTGCCTCTGTCTCGGCGGTGACACAAAAAGCTCCCGCGCAGGGCCGAGCGCCTGGCGGCCGTGTCCGACCAGGGACGCGGAG